GTACGGATCACAAGCTGCGGTTTGGAACATACATGTCCTGCGGATTAATACATTTTTTTACTTGTCGTGTAGATAAATCTTAGGTTTGTAAAGATCACAGAGATATCACCTCTCGCGTCATTCAAAAACATGTAAAGCATTTAGGCTTTCCAGTAAAATACAATGATGACATAAGGAGTTGTGGTGGGTTATTCGGGATGTGGTGGGTTTCTTAGGCTATTATTAAAAGATCGGGATCTTAACACCTAAGCAACATAATTTATAAATTATGGTGATTTGCACATGATTATTAATCATAAGAGATTCAGTATTTAGTATTTTAAATTAGTTATGAAGTTACATAACAGTCAAATAACACAAAAGTACTGGGATAACAGTTTATAGTTTAGTTAAAATAACTGATGTTTAATATAAAGATTAAAATCACTGTCATATGCAGTTGATAACACTCAAAAATGAAAGTTGTAGGCAGCAGTTACGCTATTTAACAATCGGTCATCAAAAATATGCCACTGAATAATTCTTCACAAATGATGCATCTTGCAATGAAAAATTAAGTTTTATGAGTGCATAACAGAATAATTAATTGTAAATGAGACTAAATATACATGTAAATATACATTTTATACTAAATATATACATTTAGCATTATCAGCAACAGTAGTAGTAACAGTGAATTTTTCACAGTACTGAATATTTTACTATTTATTTTTATTCAACTGATTATTTCTTCATTTTATTTTTTATAAAATTCCAGAAAAGATCTGTTTGTTAAAACCAAAGGTTTATTGTAGTGCTGTTTTGTAATAAATGGAAAGAAAATTACATTTGTCTCCTCCCCTTTTTGGCTGATCCGAAAATGGTCCAATCCATGACTAAAAAAGCTTTATGGCATCTGAACTGTGAGATTTGTGATCCGTTACACCACTAAAGGGGACACCACTTTTAAAATAAATGATCAAATAAAATGCTGGGTTCTCAACACAAATTTTTGTAAAATACAGACAAATTACAACAAATTAACCCAACAGTTTGTCCATATTTGTGTTGAAACACATTAATAAAGTGTACCAAAAAGGATTACTAAAATATTTATTAAATAATGATTATTTTTTATATTTATTATTACTTTTTAGAAAAGCAAATTAAATTAATTCATGTTCTAATTACTTTGGCTGATAATATATATACATATATATATATATATATATATATATATATATATATATATATATATATATATATATATATATATATATATATATATATATATACACTAGTTGCAACATTTGAAATTAGTTTTTAAAACTAGTATCTTTTAGAAATGTGATAAAAATAAAATCTTGTTTTTTTTATGACACTCATCCTTAAAAAAATTATACAAATTGGAGTGATCACTGCACTAGTGGTGCGCATCATTTGCTTTCCATGCCCTAACCTCAAGAAAACAAACCATACGAAAGCAAGGTGCGACTTACCTTTGTATTCAATGGCAAAACCAGACATCCCCAGGGAGGCATCGCTGCGGAAGGCCAGAAAAAGGCTATTTCCACTGCTCTCAATGCGATCTGGAACCTGGTTGCCCTGCAGACTGATGATCAGGGGTCCGTTGGAGTCCTCACCCTCATAGATATGGAGGAAATCATAGCTGGGCTCCATGTTAAAACTGCACAACAAATGAAAAAATAAATTAGGGGTTTCTAGATATGTAGGGGGTTATGCAGAGGTGTCTCAACCAGTGACTTTTTATGCTTAACTAAGAATCAATATCTGATCCTGGAACAATATTTCCGAGTTATACCCTAATTACTATTTATCCCTTTGCACCGATAATAACATCCCAAACACTGTAATAGCTTTAATATGCTTAATTTGGCTATTAGCATTCCTAGAGCCCTGGTCAGATCACATGACTGTATCATGATTTCAGCACAATTTTCTTGACGTATAGGGAGTCGTGGGGAGTCATAAACAACAAATAGGCATCGTGACACAGGAATCAAGTGTTTCTTCTTGTGTAATGTGGCATAGTTTATGACAACTGATATCATGTCTACGACGCCTCATGACACCATCGCAGAAAGTCTAGCATGTTTATTTTTTTTTCCTGATCTTTTCTAGTTCTGTGGGTGACAGTGGACAATAGGAGCACATAATTTATCAGTTATATATCCATGGGTCAGGTAATCAAAAATAGCCTGCATATTTACTTATGGCTGGGTCTCAGGTGGATAAGATCAATCATTGATTATGCAAACTTTAGCTACTTTCCTTAAAACATTAAAGTGTTTAAGCTTTTTTATTTAGACTGGCACAAATATGCAGACATTTACATTGTCACAGTGAGTTTCTGAGTTCTCTCAGCCTTCCAACAGAGTTCGTTCTTCCGAGGTTATCTGGAAACACGTACAGTGCTGTGAATACATTGTAAAAGCCAGTTTTGCTTTTTGAAATTACTTGATTAAACTACTTTAATTAAAACTTTGAATTAAAATTGTGTCATTAAAAATAAAAACTTGAATAGTTTCTCTGAAACTGTGAATATTTCAATTTAATTTTGTTTAGGCTAGATTTGATCTTATTTAACAAACCGGTTTGTTCTAGCATCTAGCAGACTGGTTTTGAAGCACTTCACCTCAGATGCCATTTGTTGTTTTTATTTATCTAATAAACTATACCGAACAAAAAAATACATTAAAATTAAGATAGAAACTATACCAAACAAAATACATTTCAATTTTTTTTTTTTCAAGAAAAATATATGAATGGTATTTTTGTTTGTGCCAGTCCACTAATCAATAGTGCGGTTGGATGATTTGTTTCGCTCTGTGAAAAATAAGGATTTGATTAATGCATCACTGTAATTGTTGTATCACAAACCTCCGTCATTTATTTGCTCATTTTTTTAATAAGTCATTATTTTTAAGATTTTTGTCTTGATTTTTCCTTAATTATAAGTGGTATATGTGGAGAAAACCAGGCACTGCTCATCACTTGTATAATACAGTCCCAACAGTAAAGCATGGTGGTGGCAGCATCGTGCTGTGGGGGTGTTTTTTTAGCTACAGGGACAGGACAACTGGTTACAATTAAGGGAAAGATAAATGCGGCCAAGTACAGACATATCCTGGACTGTCACGGTTGCAGGTTTGTGCGCTCTTCCAGAGTGTCTGTTTGATCATGTGAGTTTGTTTTGTTTTGTTGCCCATGTGTATTTGTTTTGGTCACGTGTTATGACGATACTCAGTTGGTTTGATTAGTTCGCCAGCTGAGGCTCATTATCACGCCTATATATATCGCCGTTTTCTGTGTTTCCTTGTCAGTTTGTTACGTGTGCTTATGTGTTCGTTTGTCTGTGCTCAGGACCGTGCGGAGTTACCACTGGACCCTGTTTTCCCGTCTGATCCCTGCTCTGATTTCTCCTAGTCCTAGCACCGCGCTCTCTGTTACATTTATCTTGACTGTGTCAATAAATACATTTTCAATTGCACTTGGATCCATCTGAACATTCTTTGTACGTGACATGGACGCAAACCTTTTCAAGAGTGCTAAGGACCTCAGACTGGACTGAAGGTATACCTTCCAACAAGACAATCACCTTAAGCACACAGCTAAAATAATGACGATGTGGCTTCACAACAGCTCAGTGACTGTTTTTAAACGGCCCAGCCAGAGCCCTTACTTAAACCCAATTGATCGTCTCTGGAGAGACCTAAAAATGGCTGTCCACCAACTTTCACCATCCAACCAGACGGAATGGAGAGGATCTGCAAGGAAGAATGACAGAGAATCCTCAAATCCAGGTGTGAAAAACCAGTTGCATCTTTAACAAAAAGACTCAGGGCTGTATTAGATCAATAGGGTGCTTCTACTAAATACTGAGCAATGAGTCTGAATAATTAGGACCATAGATATTTTATTTCAGTTTTTCTATTTTAATTAATCTGCAAAAATGTCAACAATTTTGTTCTTTTCTGTCAATATGGGATGTTCATTTATTCATTTTCTTTTCGGCTTAGTCCCTTTATTAATTAGGGCTTCCACAGCAGAATAAACCGCTGTCATATCCAGCATATGTTTTACACAGCGGACACCCTTCCAGCTGCAACCCATCACTGGGAAACACCCAAACACTCTCATTCACGCTCACACTACAGACAATTTACCTCACCCGATTTCCCTATAGCATTGTCTTTGGACGTGTGGGGGAAACCGGAGCAGCCAGAGGAAACTCACGCAAACATGGGGAGAACATGTAAACTCCACACAGAAATGCCAACTGACCCAGCTGAGGCTCGAACCAGCGACTTTCTTGCTGTGAGGCGACAGCGATGCCCACAGCACCATCGTGCTGCCCCAATATGGGATGTTGTGTGTGTTTATTTAGAAAAAAAAGATCTTAAATGATATTAGCCAACGGCTGCAATAACAGAGTGAAATATTTAAGGGGGTCTGAATACTTTCTGTTCCCACTGTATATATGATGTTGCAAGCTGCTGTCCATGCAAGTGGTGCTGAATTGGCTGATATTAATGGTAAATTACTGTGGGGAACTGTTACTTTTAGGATCCACTTATGCATAATTTTACATTTTAAAAAATAATTTCCATGCATCATAGGCAGCGTATTGAATTTACTTTCAAATGAGAGGTCACATTTCACTTTCAATTTTGATTTCATAATGACAAGTACTTTGCATAAAGGGAGAATATTTTACAAGGTATGATATTTGAGCAGAGCATCTACTGAGCATGAATAAACTCACCCATAGTCTCTCTTCTTATTATCCACCCGTGATCAGTGAAATTTGACTCTCGCAGTTTTTGTTGGATGCAAAATTCACGAATCAATGTAAAGTCCACCTTTTTTTCAGCTACTTTTCACCATGGTGGGTTAAGGTAATGTAAGCATTGTGCGAATTAAATTTCACTGCTTGTGCTGACATATTTAGCATTCAGCTTACTGTGTATAATAATGTGTTATTTTATTTGAGTTATTTCTGAAAAAGAGCTTCATGTTTTATGATTAATGTGCATAACTGGCTGTAAAATATGTTTTACATTTGTCCCACGGGATTGCAAATTAATGCAATCCAATGCAGCCCACTAAACAGCACTTGAAACATGTAATTAACAGTTACTAAATTAAGAAACTGACTTTCAGACCTCTGTCGTTGTTGTTGCAGGGCTTGAAATCGTGACCGTTTTGGTCACATATGTGACCGAAATTTTATCTATGCGACCTTAAAATATATTTGGGAGCATTTGTGCATAAAAGTGCATAAAATTGATGTCGTACAACCAGTTTTCACAGCAAAATATTCACCACATGCGCAGAATTAGGAGTTATTCACACAATAAGCATCTTTGCATCTAAAAACACCAAACGCAGTGCTTAGGATTGGTTTAAAACAGTTGTCATGTCGACTTGCTGCAGTAAACAAAGTCTCCGCCTTCAAGCTCTTCTTATTGGCCCACTGCACTAGAACAGAACGCAAATGGATTGATTAATATCAGCTGTCAATCACTCAGTTCTGATAACAGGGAGCCACAGCTGCGAAAATGTTAAGGATCGGATCGGAGAGAATAAAAACAACGCTGGCAGATTTAGTTTTAGAAACCACCTAAAGTTACAAATAATGACACATCTGATTAGTGGTCATGTAATGAATGTCAATCCAGCATTTACACTTTTGGAAGAGTGGATAAAAGACCTCCAGTGGTTAAAGTCCACTATGAAAATGACTAAAGCATTCTCCATAAAGCCGGTGGTTTCAGGTAACAGTGTTTGTCACTGAATCTACACATTTTAAGCCCGAGATGTTCTAACGTTATTTAATCCTTAATTTAATCGTCATGATGCTGTCAGCTTCACCATCGCTAAAGAGCATAGATTCTATTAAGATGAAACTAATATTGCATCTCATGAAATGACTGTTATTGCTATTAAGATTCACTCATTCATTCATTAATTTTCTGCTGCTTAAATTTGACTCTTGCAGTTTGTGTTGGATGCAAAATTCACGAATCCATGTAAAGTCCACCTTTTTTTCAGCTACTTTTCACCATGGTGGGTTAAGGTAAAGTAAGCATCGTGCGAATTAAATTTCACTGCTTGTGCTGACATATTTAGCATTCAGCTTACTGTGTATAATAATGTGTTATTTTATTTGAGTTATTTCTGAAAAAGAGCTTCATGTTTTATGATTAATGTGCATAACTGGCTGTAAAATATGTTTTACATTTGTCCCACGGGATTGCAAATTAATGCAATCCAATGCAGCCCACTAAACAGCACTTGAAACATGTAATTAACAGTTACTAAATTAAGAAACTGACTTTCAGACCTCTGTCGTTGTTGTTGCAGGGCTTGAAATCGTGACCGTTTTGGTCACATATGTGACCGAAATTTTATCTATGCAACCTTAAAATATATTTGGGAGCATTTGTGCATAAAAGTGCATAAAATTGATGTCGTACAACCAGTTTTCACAGCAAAATATTCACCACATGCGCAGAATTAGGAGTTATTCACACAATAAGCATCTTTGCATCTAAAAACACCAAACGCAGTGCTTAGGATTGGTTTAAAACAGTTGTCATGTCGACTTGCTGCAGTAAACAAAGTCTCCGCCTTCAAGCTCTTCTTATTGGCCCACTGCACTAGAACAGAACGCAAATGGATTGATTAATATCAGCTGTCAATCACTCAGTTCTGATAACAGGGAGCCACAGCTGCGAAAATGTTAAGGATCGGATCGGAGAGAATAAAAACAACGCTGGCAGATTTAGTTTTAGAAACCACCTAAAGTTACAAATAATGACACATCTGATTAGTGGTCATGTAATGAATGTCAATCCAGCATTTACACTTTTGGAAGAGTGGATAAAAGACCTCCAGTGGTTAAAGTCCACCATGAAAATGACTAAAGCATTCTCCATAAAGCCGGTGGTTTCAGCTAACAGTGTTTGTCACTGAATCTACACATTTTAAGCACGAGATGTTCTAACGTTATTTAATCCTTCATTTAATCGTCATGATGCTGTCAGCTTCACCATCGCTAAAGAGCATACATTCTATTAAGATGAAACTAATATTGCATCTCATGTAAAGACTGTTATTGCTATTAAGATTCACTCATTCATTCATTAATTTTCTGCCGCTTTTCCAGGGCCGGGTCGCGGGGGCAGCAGTCTTAGGAGAGAACCCCAGACTTCCCTCTCCCCAGACACTTACTCCAGCTCCTCAAGGGGGATCCCGAGGCATTCCCAGGCCAGCCGAGAGACATAGTCCCTCCAGCGTGTCCTGGGTCTTCCCCGAGGCCTCCTACCGGTGGAACATGCCTGGAACACCTCTCTAGGTACGCGTCCAGGGGGCATCTGAAACAGATGCTCGAGTCATCTCAGCTGACTTCTCTCGATGTGGAGATGCAGGAGCTATACTCCGAGCTCCTCCCGGGTGTCAGAGCTCCTCACAGTATCTATAAGGGTGCGCCCTGCCACCCTTCAAAGGAAACTTATTTTGGCCGCTTGTAACCAAGATCTTGTCCTTTCGGTCATATCCCAAAGCTCATGACCATAGGTGAGAGTAGGAACTAAGATTGACCGGTAAATCGAAAGCTTTGCTTTTCAGCTCAGCTCCTTCTTTATCACAACGCACCGGTACATCAACCACATTACTGCTGCCGCTGCACCAATCAATCTCACGTCAAATAATAATAAGTCAATATCATCTGTGCAATATCAGACAGCACCCGTGAAAACAGCACAGTTATTATTGTTAATTCAGTTCATCTCATTGATCATGATGTGAAGATTGCTATCACTGACAGATGATCAGAAACGTGGCTGTGGGGAATTAAGTGTTAAAATTTCCACAACATTACCACAGTATGCCATGTGCTGTGTTTGATCCTGTCATTGTTCTGATGATTGATACAATAATCTAAGCTGCAAAGGATTCGCCGGCCATTTTGTTTTTAAAGTAAGGATCAGCAAAGACTACTAATGTATAGGACTGTCAATAACTGTTACACAGTTTATATAGACCAGTTTCTTCTTTCTCCAGATCATGTAAGTGTTTCTAGTTCCTACACAACCTATACGTGTAAAATGTCTGCCTCGTTTACTGTAGTTTGGAAAATATGTATTTAATTGTATGTTGTAACTTGTAATCGCTCCCTGCAGCGTGTAATCCCTTATGTATTTTAGAGCTTGTAATGTATCTCTAAGGTTAAAAGTATATGAGCTATTCACATACAGTATCGTGTCCAAAACCACATTGAAAACGTTGATTTAACTGCATTTCTGTGCTCCATTCCCTGTCATTTATCGTTGCATTGGCCACCATCACACGCGTGGTCAGTTATCAATTGTATTCTATTTCAATTATTATTCTACTTCAACTTCAGAATAACATCAGTACTTATTTGATCTCAAAAGAAGAATATGAAAAGTGAACCGTCAACCGTGACAAGCTATAACTTGAAAAGGACACCGTGTTAAGAGGATTTCAGGCAGCCCTGATCTGTTAAATAAAAGGCAATTTAGTAAACATAATGAGACATCAATGAGTTCACTCCAATGTCAAAGCTGTCATAATACAGAAATAAAAGGCCATTTTCTACAATGATTTCTGCACTCTAACTCAAATGCTCTGTTTAATGGGCCATTTCTCCCCTAAATCTTCAGCGTTAATGCAAACTGCTACATATGTATCTTTGCATATGAAATATGTATTACATGAAGAACTCTTTCAAAAACACTAACTGCATTTTTATTTTAAAACTTATTAAGGTTATTTAGTGTAATGGCGAAAAGGATAGCATCATTGAAAAGAAGTTACTGTACATTTAAATTCAGGGTTGCAGTGCTGACGTTTGTTTACTTTAGGCTATTTGAATAATGCATGTGACTGGTACAAAATGCAACAATCTCAAATTTCTCCCATAAACAATTTTATGAATGCAAACACATTGTAAATAAGACATGCTTCAGCTTGCACAGTGTAGACAACGTCACTGATTGTAACCAAAAGAGTGCAAAACTCAGTCATCATTTAAAATGAAATGACTGACCTGTCCAGAAATTATAAATGAAGCATTATTTGCTTCTTTTTGGTGTTTACGATATAATTTCAACCTATTGACCTTATTCTAAAATGCGGAAGTGCGCCTGTTTTCGCGATTGTCTTAGAACTTTCGATTCAGTCGCCTATGGGAGAAATGACTAGGAATAATAAACAGCAGAAAATGGTCAAACTACTTGCTCTACAAACAAATGTTTGCATGACTATACAGACCAAGTAGAATAATATAATAAGAAAATATCAAATTGCAACATCAACCGGCGTATCGAGCAGTTTTTAACGTCAAAAAATGAATGGAAGTGAATGAGAACCTAAGTCTCGAGCCAAAAAGATTCAAATGGCAGCGCCCGCTCGTCGGCAGAGGATAAGGAGAATACTGAAACATCCACTGTGCAGCAGAGTTTAGCTCCATCTCTAATTATAGATACCTAAAAAGTATAACCTACCAGTCAAAAAGTTCAAATTTTTACATTTTGATTACAAATTGATTACAGTACATAATCTTTTCTAGTTATTTTGGAAGACACTAGTATTAAGCTAAAG